GGGTCAAGGAGGAGGGGTCTGTGGGTCAAGGAGGAGGGGTCTGTGGGTCAAGGAGGAGGGGTCTGTGGGTCAAGGAGGAGGGGTCTGTGGGTCAGGGAGGAGGAGTCTGTGGGTCAAGGAGGAGGGGTCTGTGGGTCAAGGAGGAGGGGTCTGTGGGTCAGGGAGGAGGGGTCTGTGGGTCAGGGAGGAGGAGTCTGTGGGTCAGGGAGGAGGGGTCTGTGGGTCAGGGAGGTGGGGTCTGTGGGTCAGGGAGGAGGGGTCTGTGGGTCAGGGAGGAGGGGTCTGTGGGTCAGGGAGGAGGAGTCTGTGGGTCAGATCTGTGAGGGTCAGACCTGTGAAGGTCAGAGAGTCAGACCTGTGAGGGTCAGATCTGTGAGGGTCAGATCTGTGAGGGTCAGAAGGTCAGACCTGTGAGGCACATTTTCATGTCAAGTTTGGATTTTATAAATCACAACCTTGGTGTAAAAAGTGGCGTTGACACGTTTCATAAATCTGACCCCAGGTCCGTCACATTTAGTCTGGTTCTGAACAGCAGGAAGTTTGGATTCATCATCAGGGACATCTGAAAACTGAAGCTTTTCACAATAAAACCTGAGAGACACAGCTCTGCAGGAGGTCCAGGTTCTGGTCTACAAGGAGCAGAACTGTCTGTGTTTATCTGTAAACATGTTGGAGAACGTGCTGAGCAGCAGGAACAAATGGTTTCTCTCAGACTTCATGAACACGTCCCTCACATGAACTTCCTGTTGCTTCACTTCCTGGACCTCTGACAGAACCTGAAGGCCCGTCTCTGTTTGAAAACATCACAAGACCTGAAGATGAAGTCAGGTCACAGGAGGACTCAGAGTTTCTTTAGTTCTTCTCAAAAAGAACAAAAACTACTGAGAGTCTGAAGCTTCACAAACATCTGAACTCACACTGACTGAGGCTTTTATTTTGTAGGTGCTGCTTTCTTTACAGCTTCCTGTCATGGAGACAGAGGACATGTGGACACAAACCTTGTGGATCCTGGGGGTTCTGGGTTCTGTCCCCACATCGATGACGTAGATCCTGGAGGAGATCAGGGACGGCAGGATCAGGCGGTTCCGGGTCTTGGACGGGTCTCCAAAGCAGCTGCTGCAGGCGTTCCAGCCCGAGTGGTGCAGCTCGTCATTCAGGTTGGGCATAGGCAGGCGGTGGATCACCTGCAGAACCAGAACCAGAACCAGAACCAGAACCAGAACCAGGTGAGGCCGAATCAAAAGGTGCCGACAGACAGAAGCTGAGATGAAGAGGAGGAAACAGACTTTGTGTCTCAGTTCAGGGTCTGGGTCCTCAGGAGTCTCTGGTCCACACAGAGAGCTGGCCCAGTTCAAACAGTCCTCTGTGAGCCCAGGAGGAACCAGTGACTCACTGGTTCCTCCTGGGTTCACAGAGGAGGAACCAGTGAGTCCTCACTGAGCAGGTCCCAGGACTCAAATGAAGACGGTTTTAGTTTTTATGTTTGAAATTCACCAGACTGAAGAATTTGTTTTTAAAGTTCAGCAACTTATCTGATGAAATTTATGTTACAACATGATGTTAAAGTTAAATATTCAGTGTTTCTCAGATATATTTAAATACTGTACACAATAAAGTATCTACTGTACACAATAAAGTATCTACTATACACAATAAAGTATCTACTGTACACAATAAGTATAATATATTCAAGGGGATTCTGGTCCACCATCCGGCGTCTCAGGAGGGGGAAGCAGTGCAGCACCAACACTGTTTATYGTGMGGATGGTGTGCTGCTGACCTCAACTCGTGACGTTGTGGGCCGGTGGGCAGAATACTTTGAAGACCTCCTCAATCCCACCAACATGCCTTCTGTTGAGGAAGCTGAGCCTGGGGACTTTGGGTTGGGCTCTCCAATCT